CTCAGTTGAAAGGTTGTCTATATTACTAGAATTTAGACGAAGTGACTACTCAATCTACCTAGCTATGTATAGAAACTACTGCTGTTTTTCTAATAAATATACTGTACAGTTGCTATGTTTCATGTTTCTTGGGAATAGCGTGCAAGTTGTTTCTTGCGTGATGTGCGAGTGTGGATGATTCCGATGTGTGTGAATAGACGCAGGAGCAGTGGCTACTGTTGGAGGTGACGGACTGGGAACATGGCGGGGTGCGCCGTTGCAAAATCTCCAAAAGGCGGATACTTCCTCATCTTGATAAGCGCCTTCTCCAGTGATGCGCTCTCATCGTCATCGTAGCGCCTCCTCAGGTTGTGCCGAAAGTGCGCGCTGGCTGTGGTGAAGATGACCATCGTTGCTGATGTCGTCGGTGTGGGCTGTCTTCCGTCGAACAGACACCGATTGCGGTCGGACCAGATGAAGTGGAGTGTCACCGTGCGGAGCGTGTGCCATACATCTCCGATGATGTCTTCACACTCCTTCCATTCGTCTCGCACGACTGGTTTCCTTGCTGTCGCTATCATGACCCATGTCAGTTGAGATCGGACGAACGGCGCCATGATGTTCCCAAAGTGTTCCCACAGTCTTGTCGCGAGTGAACATTCGAAGAACAAGTGCTGCTCTGTCTCGACTGCGTCGCACCTGTCTCGGATGCAGTATATGATGCGTGGGTTCGACTGCTGCAGGAACCAGAACCGCGATCGAACCGGTAGGAGTCGAAACGCGAGGCGGAACTGCAGATCTTCGAACACAGGGAGCAGGATCTTGCGCAGGTGCTTGCTGAACTTGACGTACGCTTTGATCTGCTCGTCGCCAACTCGCTGCGAGTGCACAGTCATCGGATGTGGCTTCGTCGGTGGTTTTGGCGTCCACACCACACGCAGCAGCGCAGATCTCGGGATCGCTGGGATCACTCACTCAGTTCTCAGTCATCAGCGTAGTGTAGTGGTTATCACGTCTGCTTTACACGCAGAAGGTCGCCGGTTCGAACCCGGCCGTTGATACAATTTTGAGCTTAAATTATCCACTTACCAGCCAGTAAATCCAGCAAGTACCTTGTCCCATACATTTATGTCCCAAAGCAAAGACGCTTGCTGAGCCAACTGTTTTTACGTCTCTATGCTTTCATCGCCAATAGCTTGCAATTAAAGCAAGGACAGGCCAAGCGCCGAGACCACAAACACGTGACTTCGTGCCTCTTGGATGCCAATCGTAGCGATACTGAGTGAAAACGTCCTATGAACACATGTAGCTAAAAACGAGATATACAACACGATGCGTGGCCTCTCTAGCTGTACGTTTGTCGAGCAAACGCAGCGCGAAAAACAGCAATCGCCTCACAGCTACTTTCATACTCATCGAAGACGATGATGCACTCATGCCGCTTTGGGCTAAGGGTCCGGGGTGGCTTAAAGATGTTCAAAAATGAGGTCATATCCTCTCATCATCAACGATGTAGCTTGGCGTACGTGTGGAACTGTACTACTTACAGATGTCGCGATTAGACCGCACGAACATTAGATCATTGACGACGTGCGGCTTGAGCCGACTGCACCTCAAGTGTTACCGTGTTACCCGCGTCGGAGAAGTTGTTTGACATGAAGCTGGCAGCAGGAGCGCAAAGTGTAACGGGTTTACACAACGGTTAGTTAGTTATATCCAGAATTATTTCATGTTTGTAATTCTATGAATATTGCATAGATGTATTCTTGATACTTTCCTTTGAGAGGTATTAAGTATGGGCGTCAAGATACGGTATTCAGTAATACCGTATCATATCGTTTAGGATGCAATGATCGATATCGCTGTACTAAGTACATCATATCCTGGTCGGGTTGGGGTAACGCCCTCCCGGAAGGCCTGAGCTAGCTTAATGCTAGCTGGGCCTTGAACGGATGCTTCGCGGTATCCGTCAGTTTAGGACGGGCCTCTCTCCCTCTACACACCTCTTTCTTGCCGCTCTCACCCCCAGCCGCCAGTCAAGCCGCCACGATGTACGCCGCCACGCCCGAAGTCCCGAAGTCCCGGCATCTCCGCTTAGGTACGCTCGCATGATCCTTTGTTCCACGGTGCAAGCAGCAAGAGACCCTCCCTGAGTAGGACCTGTTGACAAGATAGACATCCAAGGGATCGAAGCAAGAAACCTACCGCTGAAAACCGCCGTCGACTGGCCCCAGACCTGTACCTCCTTTGCCGGTGTGCAAAGGATCGTGCAGCCTGGACGGCCTTCAGCGCGGCGCATATAGCGCGCGCCGCTTAATGGACCCTGGCGAGAGAAGAGAGAAATGTAAAGAAGAGAGATAACCCGACGCATGCGGAAGTTGAGCCACTTTGGTGGCAAGACGGCTCGCGTAACGCGTTAACATACATACATAAGTACATCATACACACATGTTTGGACGATGCGTCGTGCATTGAAGTCTGCATATTATTGTTAATTGTATAGTAATCAAACTAGTTAGGGTAGGTTGAATGGATATCTTA